TTTAGTCTTCCTCTTCTCATTTCCTGTTACACAACTAAAATTCTTGGGCCGGGGATTTAGCTCAGTGGTTCCGGAGCCTGCCTCGCAAGCACAAGGTCCCAAGTTCGATCCCCGGTACCAAACAAAACAAAACAAAACAAAATAAAACAACTAAAATTCTTGGATTCTTCAAAATGATAAGTATCTTTGGGCGTGCTAATGAACTGACTGGTGGCTGGGGCTCCTGGTTACTTTGCAAATAGAAGAGGGCTGGTATTTCAGTGCCACCCCTAACCTCCCAGAGGAAAGAGGGGCTGAAAGTTAAACTGATCACTTATGGTCAATGATTCTGTCAAGCATTTCTATATCAGGAAGCCTCCACAGAACCCCAAAGGGATAGGGCCGTGGAGGATGGCTTCCAACAGCTGCAGGGGTGGAGGATCCTGGGGCCAGGGAGCTGGAGAGGGCACGGGAGCTCTGCACCCCCTTTCCCATGCCTCTCCTCCATTTCTCTTCCACCTAGCTCCTCACGGTGTCCTGTGTAATGTCTTTCACAGTAAGCGGGCAGATGTAAGCATTTCCTTGAGTTCTGAGGGCCACTGTAAACTGCCACAGAGGAGGGGGCTGTGGGAGCCGGACCCACAGCTATCAGTCAGAGGTACGGATGACAACTGTCCTGCACCTGGATGGCACTTGAAGGAAGGTCGTCTTGGGACACAGCCTGTGGATCCAATGCTGGCTCCAGTAGAGGGCGGCGGAACTGAATAGAACCAGAGGAAGCTCAGCCCATGTCTGCTAGAGAACCGTGACAGAGTTGGTTGTTGGTAGGAAACCTTCACATCTCGGGGGGTCACAGGGTTCTGTGCTGTGAGAGTTAGTAGGAGAAGTGAAGCATGTGTTTTCCTACCCTTACTATAGACTTGAGCATTTCTTACTAAGTTTCTGCCTGGTATTTCAGTCTCTTTGTTACTATTGTAAACAGGGTCTGTCTTCCATTTTGTCTTCACTTCGGAACAAAAAAGCTCATTACCCATTTTCTCATATAGGTCTCTTACATGTATTTTGTTAGACTTATACCTAAGTATTTTATTTTTTGGATGCTAATATAAAGTTATTGTTTTAAATTTCAAATTCCACTTGTTCATTGCTGATATGTATGAAAGCAATGGACTTTTTGTGGGATATTTTTGTTTTGTTTTTGTGAAAGAGTCTTGTTATGTAGTTCAGGCTGAACTTGAACTCACTCTGTAGGCCAGGTTGACCTCAAACTTAGGGCAATCCTCCTGCCTCAGCCTCCTGGGTGCTGGAATTATAAGCATGCACCAGCACACCTGGATTTTAGCAATTGATTTTTATTTAGTAATTTTGTACTCATTTAATTGCTTATTACTTCCAGAAGTTTTTTGTTGATTCTTTGGGATTTTAAAAATAGGCAACCAACTGATTTGCAAACAAAGATAATTTTATTTCCTTCTTCCCAATGAATATGTCTTTTATTTCCTTTTCTTGACTTACTGCATAGAACTTCCAGCAGAATGTTTAAGTGGACTAGTTAGAGGAGACATCCTTGCTATGTTTCTGATCTTAGGAGGAAGCTATTAGTTTCTTACTATTGAGCATGTTGTTAGCTGCAGATCTTTTGTAGACAATCTTACTCAAGTTGAGGAAGATCCCCCCTATTTCAAGTATACCAAGACTTTTTGGAATTGGTATTAGATTTTGTTAAATACTCTCACTACATCTGATGTGATCATGTGATTTTTTTCCATTTTTTTAATCTATTGATATGATGGATTACATTGACTTATGAATAATGGCTTGCATACCTGGGATACATCCCACTAAGGTGAAGTGTTTATTTTTATGCAAGTTGGTTTCAACTTGCCAGTGTTTTGTTGAGGATTTTTTTCATCTATGTTCCTGAGATATATGGTCTGTAATTGTCTCGTAATGTCTTTGGGTTTGGTTATAAGGTAACGCTAGCCTCATGAAATGAGTTAGGGAATATTCTCTCTGCTCCTACCCTTTGAAAGAGGTTGTAGAGAATTAGTATAATTTCTTCCTTAAAATTTGGTGGAATTCACCAGCTAGCCTCTCTGGACCCACAGCTTCCTGTTTCAATTTCTTTTATAGGTATAGGCATATTCAGTTTGTTTAATTGTTCCTGGGTGAATTTTGGCAGATTGTGTCTTTGACAGAATTGTTTCATTGGTTTCTTCTCTAAAGCTCAGTCTTTACTTATGTAGACTAAGCTTCTGACCTGATTATCTTCCTTTCTTCTAGAGAACTTATTTTAATGTTTCTTGCTGATATCAAATTCCTTCAATTTTTGTGTGTCTGCAGAAGTCTTTTTTTTTCATTTTTAAACAGTTTTTCAGAGTACACAATTTTAGTCACCCCGCCCAGCACTTGAAGTACATGCTCTTCCTGCTCGCATGGTTTTTGAGAAGTTGCATGTAGTTCTTATCTGTGTTCTTCTGTAGATAAGGATTTTTCCTCTGGCTCCTTTTAGGACTTTTCTTTATCTCTGATTTTCTGTGGTTTGAAAATGCTGTTACGTATGTGTACTTTTTGGACATTTATCCTTTTGATCATCCTGAACTTCTTGGATCTGTGCTTTAGGGTCTGGTATCAGTGTGGGAGAAATTCTCATTCATTATTTCTTCTAGATTCCTCCTCCCTTGCTACAGTCTTTGTGTTACACCTTCCGTAGTTCCCTCTTGGCTTTGGATACTATGATCTAGTGGGCTTTTTCCAGTCTTTGTTCTCTTTGCCTTTCAGCTTTGGAGGTTACTATGGTTTGACTGTTTGTCCCTCTGAAATTTCCCCTGTAATTCATGTGGAAACTCAATCTCTCTGTGGTGGCCTCAGGAAGCCAAGACTTCAGGGCAGTGAGGGAGTGCTGGGTCTCTTTCCCCACAAAGGGGTCACAGCCGTTACAAAAGAGCTTCAGAGGGCTTGTGGGGACAAATGCAGCAACATGGCACTGCCTTGGAAGCAACCCATCAGGCGCTGGACCTGCAGGTGCTTGATCCAGGCTTTGCTGCCTCCAGAACTGTGACCAGTAAATGTATATTTTTTGTAAATTACTCAGCCTGAGGTACCTTATTATAGTGGCAGGAATGGACTGAGGTGGATTTTCACTGATACATCATTCAGTTTAGAGGTCTTTTGTCATGTCCAGTCTGCTAATGAGCCCATCAAGCGAGAGGCCAGGTGGGATCAAGAGGAAGCAGGCATTTCTGATGGAGACAGCTGGATGGCAAGGTGGGGCAAGTCCGTGTGGGGTGCAGCTGGCCTGGCTGCTGCACAGGGTGTGGGGTAGGAAGAGCAGTTTTAACACTAAGGCTCTGGTTGCTGTGAGTCATGTGGCCTAGAGGGGGATTTGGAGGCTCCACAAGAGGCACAGTGTCCTCCTCCCTGTTGCATTTAAATCGCTGTGTTCCCAGGGATTCTCGGCCAAGCTAAGACGACAAGCTGCCTCTGACATGCGTGCCTTCTGTCTTTACATCACTGGCTGCATGTGGGGTGGAAGAGCCTCACTCTTGGTGGATCCAGCCGGTGCTTGGCCTCACTTTTCTCCACCTGACCATGCTGCCCCTCGTTCAGTGGGACCTTCAGTCTGGGCCAGTCCTGTCCTGCCCCCTCCCACACGTCCTGCACCCCGGGGACAGCCCTGCTGCCTCCTGCCCTCTTGAGGCCCCAACTCTGCTTCCTCAGCACAGTCCTGCAGGCTCCTCCTGCCGGGTGCCCCTGCCCTGGGCCTCAGCTACCACCCTCTTCACCCAGAACCCCTGCTTTCTAGCTTTCTTGGTCCTCTGCCCACAACTGGTCCTGTGACCTGTGTGGCTGCCTGTCCCTGTGCTGCTCACCTATCTGTCTCTATTTCTGTCCCTCCCAGGAAGACAGGATTCCTTCTCCCTCAGTGTCTCTCTGGACGGTGGCTTCTCCAGCCCACATGCTCTACTTTGAGCCATGAGCTGTGGGGGCGCCAGAGTCCCTGGTGTGGCCCAGGCTCCAGGTCTCTGGGATGTTGCAGAGCTGTGTGCATCTGTGCTGTGATTCTATGTGCCCCAGCCAGCCTGAACTCAACCCTACTGCCCCAGCTTCGGTTTCCCAAAACAGCCATTCAAGACCTCTCTTGCATCACTCACATAAGCGGGGTGGCACTGACTGCCTACCTCATGTGGGGAGCACTCCAGTCCCTGGGATAAAAAAGAATAGCACAACACCCACGAGGCACAATGCTCATGGTCACCCAGAAAAGCAATGCTAAGGAGGATGTGCCACTGCCACATCCACCCTCTCCAGAGCCCCTGGTGACAGCTCCATGTCCAGTGGTCTCTGTTGGCTGGGGCATGGTCACTGCTCACAGAAGGGTGAGGCGGGTGTGCAAATCCTGGGTATATGTGTCTGTCACATGGTGGTGCGACAGCCAAGAAACCAGAGTGACAACGATTCCCTGAGAGGCAGCCTTGGACCAAGACTTCAGGAAGTGAGGGCAGCCCTGCAGGGAGCCTAGGAGGCTGGGTGCAGTGCCCATGGGGCCAGGGAGGCTGGGGCTCCCACTTGCATCCTCTTGGCTCAGCTTCACAAGCAGCTGGGACTACAGGTTTGTGCCATCACACCTGGCTGCAAGCTCCCTTTCCCGAGAATGTCTGCAGCCTTGGTCCACACAGACCTGGACTGAACACAGAGTGAGCAAACGACCCTGTGGGGGTGTGTGGCAGTCAGGCCACCTATCCTGCGCCACATGGAGACAGATTCGAATAACATCTATCTGTCCTCGTGGGGTACAAGGTAGCTTTCAGGGCCTGCTAGTGTGCAGTTTTGGTAGGTAGAGCACCCTCAGGTCTGTTTTAAGTTGCTCTTGAGCTGTGTGTGAACATGCTGTCGCTGGGGACAGGCTGGTCCTGAAACGTGGGAGGCCTGGTAGGATGTTAGGAAATGTTCAAGCCCCCTCATTTCCCAGTCTGCCTGCAGCTTTCATTCCAAGCACCGGCAGGTGGGTGTTGTCCTACCTTTGCCCGGTGTTCCCAGTAGGCCTTCTCCCAGTCCCGGCTGGCACAAGGGGAAGTCAGGCGGGGGGCTCTGTGCATCTCCGCTGCCCTACTCTCTTCAGAGAGGAGCAGCCGGCCGTGCAGCCAGACAGGGTTGTCTACGTCACGTGATCGTTGCCATGGTTCCCAGGCCAGGGGAAAGAGCGCTAGGTAGTTTTGGCGCTTAGGCGCCAGAGGAGGGAAGAACAAAGAAGGACCCTGCCTTCACTCCAGTGCGCATGTTTTCGTGGTCCTGAATAAGTTTGCTTTGCTGTTGTGATGACAGCTGCTCAAGTTCCCAGCTACAGGACAGGAAAACACGGAAGAAGGAAGAGCCCGCGGGAGTCGCTGGGCCCAGCTCCTTCCTGGCTGCCCCTCGCCCCTCCCGGCCTCCCTCTCTCTCCTCTCTCTCTCTGGCACTCTTTCCTTTCTTAATTCTTGTCTTTTTGTAGGACCTCCTTGTTCATTTGGGTCTTATTTTTGAATCATTTATAATAAATTGGACAACTACAAAATATTTTTATTTGTAGCATACACGGCAGATTTACACTGAATAGTTTTCACCTGACTTGAGGATCCGCTTTAGAGATTTTAGGCTTTGGACTTCTTCCCCTCTCCATTGCTTTTATCTGGCTGCAACAGGCTTTCCTGAGCTGATCAGTAAGAATGACACAGGGCGGGGGATTGAGCTCAGGGGTTCTGGCGCCTGCCTCGAAAGCGCAAGTTCCCGAGTTCAATCCCTGGTACCAAAAAGAATGGCACACGGTGTTGCATTCACTGTCCTCTAGAGACCACAGGCACCGCTGTGGAGATAACACAATGAGAGGAACTGGCTGGGACAATTGTCAACCTGCCTCTCAGAATCCTAACCTTCGTAACATAACAGCATCCTTTGCATAAAGCTTTGTCCTGCAGAGCCGCTGGACAGACAGGACTCACTGCTCATAACTCATTGTTATGCTCTGCATGTGCACAGAATTGGGGCATTTTGTGAGAAATCATTCCACATATTAGTGTGTCTCAGTGGCTGCCAGGCTGAATAAACTTCAGCCAACTTTATTATTATTATTATTTTGGTACATGGGGATCGAACTCGGGTCCCTGTGCTTGCGAGGCAGGCAGCAGAACCACTGAGCTAAATCCCCGGCCCTCAGCCAAGTTTAGATCAACTCAGATGAGGGAATAATGTGATGTGAACGAGATTAAACCCTAACCCTCTCCTGACGAGCTGTTGGCAGCTGGGCCCATTACACTCAGCTAATGATCTTCACATGGACTGTTAATGTTGGAAAGTTTGGCAGAAGACTTTGTAGGCTGAAAGTTAAAAGGTTGCCTGAGATTTTGAGTTATTTACTTTAATATGGACTTGTTCCCAAGCATTAGCTTTTAGAAAACTGTGCTTCTACAGTAGAACATGGAGGTAAGACTTGCTACCTAACAATACAGCCAGTATCTGAAGATACTTAATTAAGGTTTCTTAGCCTTATAAAATCTGCACATCATATTCAGAGGGACTCTATTAAAATAATTTCCTTTACCCAGTTACTGTTATTTGTCAAAAATAACTAGAACAATCCCTGTGACTTAATTGTGGCATGACAACTCAACTGGGTTAGGAAATGTCCTCAGGGTTAGTAAAGCTCACTTCTGAGTGTGTTCATGTGGGTCATGAGGTGTGACCTTGGGCACTGTATTGGCACACCCGTCACTGACACAAAATCCCCAACACCCGAAGCTTCAAGGAGGAGAGGTTGACTTTGTCTCATGATTTCAGTGCATGCATGGTTGGCTGGGTCCAAGGCAGAAACAGCACCATGAAAGGGTGTGGCAGAGGAAAGCTGTTCAACTCAGGCAGGCAGGAAGCTTCCAGGTCATGCCACCCAGTTACCCACCTCCAACAAGGCCCCAGTCCTAACGGCATATTCAGCTACCAAATGCACCAATGGATCCATCCACTAACGAGTATAGCGCCCTCATGAGTCAATCACCTTCCATACATATGAGACTTTTGAGGGACATTTTAGATCTAAACCCTAACAGGAACTAGATATGGTTCCTAGCCCTTTCCTCTCTGGTGTTGTTCCCTTGCTCTGCTTCCTGGCTGCCGTGAACTATGCAGCTTTGTTCTGCCACACCCTTCCACCATGATGTTCCTGCCTTAGAACCAATTGGCCATAGTCTGAGGCCCCTGAAACTGTGAGCCAAGTAAATCTCTTTTCCTTTAAATTGTGAATGTCAGGTATTTTGTCCAGCAATTGGAAAGCTGACTAATACAAAAAGTTGATACCAGAGATGGGGCCATTGTTCTGATTATACCTGACCATGTGGTTCAAAGACATTTGGAATTGATTTGTGAGAGGAGTTTGGAAAGATTTAGAGATGCCCACTATAGAATCCCTAGAATGCTATACAGCAGAGCTTGATGGGCTCTTATTAGAGCCCAGAAGACCAGAATTCTGATAGGAATGCAGACAGTCAGGCCAGGCTCAGGAAGTTTCAGCTGGGGACAAGGACTCCACTGACAGTTGGACTGGAGGCCACTGACACTTTGCAAACCATTTGTTTTTTGTCCATGCCCTCAGACTTTTCAGGAGACTGAGAGTAAGGCCAGGGGGCTAACTACCTGGTGGAAGAAATTTCAAAGCAACCCAGTGTTAAGGCTGCAACATGGGTACTCTTGGCTACTTTTACCAGATTTATACTGAGAATTGGGGACCAAAAGTGGAAAAGAAAAATTTGAAAAATTTAAATTTTGGCCCACTTGTAAAGTTGAGGCCAAAGTAGGTGTGGTTGCTGGAGATTAGCATAATTAAAAAGAAACCAAGTACTTGGTATAAGGGCAAGAAGAAAGATTCCTTGAAGACATCTTAGAAATCAGCAAGATACCACCCATCACAGGTCCAAAGGTGCAATAAAAATGTCAACCTTTCATTTGAGAAGAGAGTCCCTGAGCCCTCCTGTTTGAGAAGGGCATCCTAGAAAATTGGTTCCCTGGGGTCATTTCACTGTGCTCAGCTATCTAGGCACCCAGAGCCACTGTACCCATAGTCCAAGACCTTGGCATCATCTACATGATGGTGGTTTTACCATTGTTTAGAATGCAAGAGTTACAGGGCCAGGAAGGCTTCCGGTCAGGCTTTAACAGCCCTGGAATGCCAGGCAAGGAGCTCCTAAGTGGGTAGTGTGTGAGGTAGCCGTGGAAATGAAGCCAGAAGTGAGGGAGATCCCAGGAGACTGGAGGTGTCAGAAGTGTGGAACGTTTGTTGAGGAAAGCTGCAGGCAGTGAGTGGAACCAGACCAAAAGAGAGACTATGGGGGCTGCAATCAGCAAAGCTATGGGGGTAGGGCTGGCCAAACCCTCTGGAACTTGTACCTTGCTATCATGTGCCCCAGATGCCAGGCCTAGTGCTCCAGAACTAAATTTTTGCCCTACTGGGTTTCAGTCTTGCTTTGGTCAGATTTTTTCCTATCCTCCATCCTCTCTTTTGAAATGGGAATGTACTTTGGGATTATGTAAATTGTTTTTTATTTTTACTGAGGTTCACAGCTAAGAGTATGCCTTGAGTATCAGCAAAGGCTTAGACTTGGGCTTTTGAAAAATGTTGGGACTTTAGGGAGGGAATGAATGCATTTCAGGTTGTGTACAGGATAGTTGTATTGTGTGAGGCAGAATTATGAACTTGCTATTGTCTTTGAAGATGAAAACAATGTTTTTATGAGGAGATGAGTCTGGCTGTCAAGTTGACGGGGTGGATTGTGACCATTAATCATAGCAGACAACTTGACTGGATTCAGTACTCAGGGGACTGGTAAAGCTCACTTCTGGGTGTGTCTGTGTGGGTCATGGAGATGTGCCCCTGGGTTCTATGTATGTGCTCTGTCCCCTTCCCCTCTTATACTGTTCCCCTGTGCTCTGCTTAATTAAGTATCTCTGCTCTGTCACGTCCTTCTGTCATGATGCTGCTGCCTTGGAGCCTGCCAACCATGGACTGAAAACGAAACTTTCCTCCTTGAAGTTATGTTAGGTATTTTATCCAGTGGTGGGAAAGCTAACACAACCCCGATATTCAGGAGATGCCTGGCAAATGTCTGTTAGCAAAGATGATGGAAAAGCAGTATTGATGGTGCTGAGTAATTCCAGGTAGGACCCTGGGAATTGCGCAGACTATGGGGCTGGCTCTCTGCAGGCCTTGACTTTCATCTTTATGGCGGTATCTCTGTGTCCAGCATGTTGAGAAGTCTCTGACAGTACTCAGTATATAGTTGCCAATTTGCAGGGCAGTCGGAGCTGTGTTCTGCTTGCTCATTCACCTGGATGGCACATGAACTGATGGCAAAGTGGGTGTAAAGTGTAAGACATGTAAAACCTCTCTGCTGTGTGGGCATCCAGGGTGGTGTGCATGCACACACGTGGATGTGCCTGGATCGGTATAGTGAGTTCAGGGACACAGCCAGAGCCATTCACCAGGGGCCTGGGCATATTTGCCCTTCAGGGACTGGCTGCCAAGCTAACATTGCTACCGTATGCAGCCTGGTGATAGGGCCTGAAAAATCAGGCCTGGTCCCTGACAGCCTATGTGGCCTGGCCTTTAATGCACTTGCCAGGCACAAAGTAAGTCTGATTCTCAACAAGATCAGACCAGAAGAGCCAGCTAAATAGCAGCTCCTTGCAATCTGTCCTGAGATGTGGATTTATATACAACTCATGAAAGCTGGAAAGTCTGGGGAGTTCAGTTAATGATATCAGTGTTGGTTTCTGCAAATGTACTTGTGCGCCAGGATCCAATCCTGGTACACATTGCATTTTGTGGATTTCATTTTAAGCAGAGGATCCTTTTTTAAATCTTGGACTAGGTTTGGATGTTTGATATTGTATAGTTTCTATTGGTACTCTGAAGAAAAGAAATGCCAAAGCCTATTTTTGGCTATGAATATGCAGGTAATACCTTTGTGTTCAGCTTCAGCCTTAATTGATGTTTTGGTACAATATTAACTTTAATATTGCATTTAATAGAATTGCTATGAAATGTTACCAAGTGATGTCCTGTAAGGGCCATTACATATAATAGATTATTATCTCAAATATAATATAAAATTTTGGTATGTAGCACAATG